TTTGAAACGAAGAGGAAGTAGTAGCGGATGCAATATAGGTCGAGACATTTAAACGGGCCCTCTGGCCACAAGTTTCACTGATTTATTGCATAGAGCTGTGGCTGAAACCGTACGAACCTTCTTGGCCACCAGGACCATTCCCTAGTTTTCAGATCGATTTACCGTCTTTTTCCTCCTACTTAGTATCGTTTCTTGAAGCCTCAATGTGGAGAGAAACAGGGCCTTCTACGGATCAGTTTTGCAGCAACCCTTGAACCTCACTCTCACCCTCGTGTTTTTGAATTGAAAGCCGCCATCCATTCAGATTTTCGTTTGGATACCGAAATTCTCCTTTCAGAAGCGACCACCCCCTTGAAGTTGGTGAACCTCACTAACCTCGGTCTCTCCTTTGATAACTGGGTCCTCTCTACATCCGCACTTCTGTAAATTCTTTCATCCACAGTCTCTAATCCTTTACTACTTTTCTTCAGCAGAGAATCCATCTATGTCATTGCAAGTTGAGGTGTGTATCTGGGGTTACTAAACGTGGAATATTCGTGGGGTTGTTATAGCACTAGCTGGAGTGAAGCAATAAACTTGATTAGGGGGTTGTCGGTGCGTCTGTCAATTGTTGCGGCTCTGCGCAGCCAACGCAATGGGAATCAGGTATACTGATGCCGCAAGAAGTTGATGTGACGAATGCCTGATATCAACAGCGATGATGTATCCCGCGGGTTTCGATGGGATTTTACTCATCGTATCCTCTGTTCGACGAGCTGCAATAGAAGGGGTAGGAGTGAGGGGTCGATGCAGCTCTGTAGGGGGTGCATTTTTTAAGAACGCCTTCCCAAAAGTCAAATCCACTCAACTGAATTGATGACCGTGAAGGTATTCATAAGGAGTTTTTCGTTGGATCTCCCTGTATATTATTCTCCGGCTGCTTGTCTGAATCATTATTGGAGGGGTGAATCTCCTGGGCTGTAATAAAGCTTTAGGGATTGTAAATGACTATGATAATAACATATACGAGAGAAAAACCCACTATCAAACCTAGTAAATGTTATTATCCTCATGAAAGGGACTTCCCTCACCTATTATAGTCTTTCAAACAATCAATCTGGTTACAACATGGTTTTGTGCAACCAGTTATCCATCTCAAACCGAGACAAACGCATTTCATATCATGTGTGATTCCAGATGGGGTAAAAACACCGATATGGTGGTGAACAGACATGCTTGAAACGCGTGCCACCGAAAGTAAAAAAGATGACAAATCGGCTGTTCGAGTAGATTGCGGATAACCAATCATCTCGAATACAGTTGGTGCTGCGCTACTTAAATGCAGTCAGTAGGCGGCTGGGAGTTTGCATGCCAAGTTGTGTCAAGGCTGAATCAATTCAGGGGAGCAGTCTAGTACTTAGTCGAGGTAGACTTAAGTGAGTTTCGTGCAATTCCTTATTAAGTAATTGTCATTTAGAACTATTTACTTAGTATGATTTTGACCAACCACGTAAGGAGGCAACGTTGACACTAATAAGAGGGTGTGGCTCGCAAAGCGATCGTAAATCAGCTACCAGGGGATGAAAAAATAAGCTAATTAAGAGAACTGCATCTTCAAAGCAATCCCCAAGCTGTGAGCTCGATTGGGGTATAAGAGGAATTATGCTCTCTTAGTGACAGCGACTACTGCAAGTACTCGCAAGAGTTTTATTGTGTGCGCACACCCGAATGCCAATTGGTTTCACAGAAGCGATTAATAGAGGAGGCGAAGTGGGAGATTTAATAAGACAACCCATAAAAGGCGTCTTTTGCAAAGATGGGCGACACCAAATGCTTTGGCACTTGCCAGAAGCATTTATCCTCAACAGAAATCGTAAAACTTGGAATGTTTTTCAGTAAACGACACCAACTGAAAGAGAAAAATAGCTAAATTCATAAAGTGCTATGAAATTTGTCTCATTTTTTGCGTAAATGACCAATTACTAGCTTTCTAATAATAAAAGTCGAACATTTGTCTCAGAGTATCCAGAAAACCCCTCAAAATTACTGGAGCCAGTTCTTCTATTCTCACGGCACCTGATTGCTGACAGCTGTTAAGAAGAGATCTAGAGTGAGGAAAAGATGGGATAAAACCACGAAGTGGGGGCCCTTGGAGTGCAATTTAGAAGAGCCGACTTTCAAATCCGATTTCAGTTAGCAGTTTGAGTCTCAAAAGGGCTTATCCGACCATTCTTGTCTAGTTGGTTGAAGTGAACACCCACCAATAGTAGCTGACCTAATGAATACCTCGGATAGTTACAGTCAGAATTGCAACCACCAAATGGACAATTGGACTTTGAAGTAAGCGCTCAATTTTGGACTGCGTTCGATTCCTAAATCCAAGAAATTTATTTTACTGAAGGGGACTCACAGGTAAGTGGTGATATGGCTCATTTTCACACCTCTTTTGTAAAGGGTGTAATTGTAGCACCCCGAGTCTTCCAAAAGGAACTGGGGCTACCGGCAAGGTCTGGAGGCCAGGTACCCTGGCGGAGCCCCCAAGTGGCCCGTTATTATAACCAAGTGTTATAAAAACAATCAACGCATTACATAGCCCCCTTCTATTTTGAGTGTCATCCCCGCTGCCTTCTTTGGTCAGACTCAGGCGTCAGCCATCACAATGGAAAACGCCCACGAGCCATCTGCCCCGGTCATCGAATTTGCGTACAACTGAAAAGATATCTGACTGCGACGTCACTGACCTTTCTTGGCAATCCCACTGGTTGTGGAGTTTTGTCTTGTTAGGGAACTGGACGCGGGGTTGGAAATGTGCCGCCCATGTCCATGTCCATCTTCAGTCATAAGAATACCAGCATGAAAGCTGTTGTTTAAAAAAAAATAGGGTTCAAAATAGCTTCGTAGGGGTTGGATTCCTCTTCTATTCCTCCTTACCACTTTGTTTTCACTTCAATGCTGCCCGGTCATATTAGTCTACCTGGGTTCTATCCAGAGAGTAGGAAGGTGGAGGAGAGATTGGGTCTCAGCTTAATTGATATCTTCATACAGGTACCGTCGACAGCTCCCTTACCAACTCTTCCAGATGGTTTACGGCCACGGCTAGTGTCGCTTCAGTTGTGAATAGCACTCCTATAGAATACGAGAGTGGAGCAGTTGCCAAAGGTATGCGTCATTTTTGGACCATCTTTTGAGGGTTGTCACATATTCCCCTCTATCCGCAGCATTGGATCCGCCTCCATCAGGTTAAGGTTCAGCATTCAACAATGGAAATCGGAACGGTTGTCCTTTATGACCTGTTTCGTTTACCTCTGCCAACATTGTAACGCCCTGAGACTTCCAGAAAGGATTGGAACTAATGGCAAGACCTGGATACCAGGCCGCCCGGTGAAGGCACCATGACGGATGCGCTAATTGGCACGATACCAACACCGAGAGCTAAACAAACAATTAACGTGTTACAGTAATCAAGGCTTGAGGTGAAAGCCTCTTGTCTTATGTCCTCTTGTTTAATTTATACAATGGAATCCATCCAACTTTACCTTACCGATTTGTTTTATATTGTGAACCTAATTTGAGGTGGATCCACTTTCACTGCAGGTGCTTCAACACCACCGACATTGTCAGTAGCACAATACGACGTCGTGATCATAGTTTAAAGCTTCCAACCTGATCCAACTCTAGGAATAACTTTTTACATCGAAGCGAGACCTTTCAAATGATCGGATCGAAGTATTGTGTCACGGCAATACCCAGTCAAGTATTTCAGTGGCAATCCAGGCTTTCCGCACTTTGCAGTTTGCTTTCAGGCGGTAATTCTTATTTGGAGGCTCCTTTCACTAGAATGCTAATCACAGATCAAAACGGAACAGTGATGATGAATGTCGAGTTTTGCTTCAGCTTGAATAAATCGAAGATATCATACAGAATAACTTGGTGAATGGCGCGATAGAATAATGCGCTACTCAGCCGAGAGCGTGTCAGGGAGGGATCCGTCCACGTAGGGAGATGATTAAACCGCAGGAAATGACTAATTCTTCCTATAAATATTTAGTTTTGGACTGCTGATCATTCGGTCTGGACACCTGCGATCGGCGAATATGATCCATTCTGACACTCACTGATTGGACTTTTGTGGCGGAGTCTGGAAACACATAGGAGTTGAGGTGGCTGGAATAACCGCCTAAATCTAAGCTCTGTTCTGTAGAACTCCATCACTGTGATAGTAGACATGGGACACTTTGCTTGGAGGGGGGAGGTGTTGGATAACGTCAACTTGACTATGAAAAGGGAAATTGACTTCCCTCGAATAATATGGACTTCCAGACTAGGCAGAACCAGTGAGCTTTCAAAGGCGAGTTTGTGGAAGAAAAGGACACATTTCATGGTGAAAGCTGCATTTAGCTTTCCACATAGGCCTGAGATTTAACTGATACAAAGAAGACTTCGATGGCGAAGAGATTTGTCAACAGGAACGAACTGCCACAGAACAGCCTGCTGCGAGTCCAAAGCGGAAAGCTGCCCCGCAACTCAACAGGAGATACCTGCCCAAACTTGTAAAAGTTTGCAGACGACCGCATCGCACTCGACACTCCCGCAGAAATGAGTTGCACAACAGTTTAGGTGTTGTTAAGCCGTCCAAGGCCAGGCGTTCCAAGAGGCTGGCCAAGTGTCGACAGGAATTTCTGCTGTGGTAGTGGACCACCAGCCCTTGCGCACGCACCTAGTCACCCAAAGTAGTGGCGTCTTGACGAGACTAACCACCAGTACTCGTAATGGAAGCAGTACGCCACGGTATCATGGCCTTTTCGCCATGTGCCCGAGAGGCCAGAACCTCCGGCCTAGATTGAACGACCCCCACGACAGCCGTGAAGGCACAACCCCATTAAGGCACAAGAGTGACAGCACAATTGCGAGAAGAATTATCAACATTGAAGTGTGATTTGGAACTGAATTAAACATCTCTCGACTTCGGCGGATGGACACTTTTCTCCATCATGACCATCCACCAGAGAACGGGTAGACCAAGGAATCGCTGTTAATCCAGCAGTCCTCACTAAATCTGGACGAATCCGAGAGGAGCAGGACCCAGAGAAAGGCATCAAAAAGTCCCAAGCAGATGGTGCTGGAGAATCAAAATTATTAGTAGTATAAAGACCACGCAAAAGGGGAGGAAAAGAATAGACACTCATTGGCGAAGCACACAGGAGGGCAGTTCATCAAGAGGAGTCAAAGGGGCTTTGACAGGAAAATAGGGAAGCCGTCACAAACACATCCTTAAACCAAGACTAAAGTGGATAAGGCCAGGTTAAACCGCATGATACAATGACACTGGTGATAAATTAGTGACAACACACGAAGGCAGAGAAAAGAAAAACATGGGCGGAATGAGAAGAGGTCAAGCCAGATCAGGTCAGAGGAACAGCAACAAGACAAGAGAAGAAGCGATGAAGCAGGAGAAGTGTGGGAAGTAGGAGTATCCCAGAGACTAAGCATATCACACAGTGGCAGTGGGAGTAGTATTACTGCTCATCGTCCAGATTTGCCTTCACCTTACTGAAGTCGAATTTCTCACTCATGATCCGCTCGTAGATGTCGAGAACGTCATCGCAGGTGGTCTCAAAGTGCGTAGTAGCGTCATAGCTCGAAGAGACGAAAATCTAAAAGGATTGAGCGAACTGGTATGCAAAATACCGTCCTTTTTTGTTACACATTCGAGCATTTAAACCTCATGTAAAGCGGTACGGTTTTGCAAGAGCCTACCGTTACCCACACCAAAATTTCCATTCGATGTAAGACGCTGCGCTCAAATAAGCATTTAATGGCAAACCATGTGAAATCTTCTCTCTTGTTTTAGTTCATCTATAGTGCCTATTTGGGATGGTCATGCATTGCTCTTACTGTGCGGCCACAGGCATACTTTTTTGAATTCGCTGTTATAACGGACAGTACAAACAATCCAAAATAGCCGCGGCGTTTGACACAAAGGTTCTGCCCCGAAATGGAAAGTACTTATCCGCTGTAGGAACCAAAGACTACTGAGGTGCACAATCCTAACCCACCGACGTAGTCGATTGAGCTTTTACGTCATGCGCATGTGCACACACAAAACTTAATATAATGCATGCCGGCTTTGGAGCTTTCATGCTACACGCTTGCAGCAACCTGCAGACACACCACAAACACTTTGCAAATGATGTCAAATCCTCTCCAGGATGAGCATTTGTCGTGATAGTTCTTACAAAGTGCTTTAAAGCTGCTCGACTAGACTGGCAGGTCCTAAGACAGTGGAGCCCTATACATCAACGACACAACTCGGATGAGCCACTTTTTCTCCAGGCGCTGATTACTGACACCTGTATAGAAGTGAATCAAGCACTCCCCTGAGAACACACAAGAAAACCAAGTATAAGTAAACAAAGCTGAACAAAAAACTGCTCAATTTACTTATGCGAACGCAAAGCTACGTTTTCAAATAAGGGAGAAGGTAATCCCCATGATGCACCGCTCCAAAAGTAGTTCACGAAAAAAGACGAACGTAGGCCTTGAAAGGCGTTTGCAATTGCCTCTGAAACACTACTTAGTAGTACATTCCGAAGGCATGAAATAATGCCGTTTTTCCGGTACAGGTGAGGCTTCTTCAACCCAAGCAATATCAAAATTTGATGGTAAACTTGATGAGCAAAGCGAAATGAGGTGGAGTATTTTCCATCGGAAATGCCACCCCTCACATTTTACTTCAGGAGATTAGAGCTTTAAGCTCCTTGATAATACAAAGGTAAACTTTGGTGGAATATTTTCTAAAAAAAGGTACAATATTTCTTCCCTTTGCAACATCGACATCGGAGTTTTTATCATTCGCACATTAAGGACAGGATGCAATAAAAACAGACACCTCACGCTACAAACAAATGAAATCGGAATCCAGTAATAAAACAATAATTCAAATCCGAACAATAAAAGAAATTGACGGAAGTTAACACAGATTCCATATCGTCAGAACCGACTACAACACACGTTTTGGTTTGCTTGCAGTTCAGTTGGGTTGTCTCTCACGAGAGAGAAGAACCCGAACCAGACTACGCAGGATATGAATAATGCGTGAGATTGGAGAAGACTTACGTTATTCGCCTTGCCGTCGTTAATGGGCTCGTAGAGGTTGGAGACAGAGACGAAACAGTCCATCATGTGACCTAGGAGACGAATACCGGGGACCAACTCACGCTCCGGCTGTTGGGTCTCCACAGTGGTAGCAACGAGGGCGATGAAGAAGGGCTTTGCTGCCACGTTGTGGTCGTGCGACACGCAGGAGATGTAGATGTCTAGCACAACCGAAGGGAAAACAAACAAGCAATCAAGTGCCCCAAAATAAGGCGACTTTAAGGAGAATGGTTTGGTAACTGGTACCGTACTCATTCAAGTGACTTAAAAGAAGTAGAGACAAGGATGGCGAGCCCAACACATACAAAACGCGGCTGAGGCAGTTTAACAGGTCACTCCATCAATAAATGCAAATAGCAGCTTGGAAATGCCCTTAACTAACCAAGTTTCATGCTTCAGGTCATTTTTTAAACAAGTACAGCTAAATTACTTCAACAAGGAGAGATGTGAATATTCGACTGCTGAATAATAAGTGGATGGCGTTTCAAGAATCTAGAATGCTAATTTCACAAAGGCAATTCGGAAGCAGCACCAAGGGAGTGGCCTATCAAAGCAATGTAAGGCTCCGTAGACGTCTACAGAGAGAAAAAACTTAATTTGCATAAGATTCCACGCTAGGATCATTGTGCCCCTCCGATTCAATCAACGCAGTCGTACAAAAGGGCACTTCATTGGTAAGTCATACAGGCTGTATAAATAAGCCAAGGTAAACGCCTTTTAAATTAACATAGAATTCAGACCGCCTAATGTTTTAAAGTGACAGAAAGATGCAAAACTGCTGCAGTGTGATCGAATGTACCCATTGGGCGGAAAACAGGACAGCTTTGAAACAACCTGCATTGAGAATGGTGATTATGCATTTACCTAGGCAAGTTAAGGAGCTACACACTCAACAAGCCAAAATAAACCTCAACCTATGCAATTCTACTGGTCATTTCACCAGAGTAACGATTTACAAACAATATTCATCCCCAACCAATAGAGTAATAAATGACCGCTAGTAGAAGGAGAATCGAAGCCGTTCCATAACCTCCAAATGCCCATTTGGTAAAAGAAGCAAATTCCGATTGATAGAGCAACAATTATCTAAAGAACGCAAAAAATTTTAGTAGAGGATAGTTGTGTTTTTAGCAAACTCACAAAGGCCTAATCTACGCACGCTCACAGATCACCCCATCGGTGCGCGTTGGAATGCCAGTTTACAAACGACTCCAAAAGGTCAAAAACTGATAAAGCATTTGGGGGGTGCATGTAAAGACGTAGGCAAGATAGATAATCAATAATGCACCGCCGGTTCCACACAAGCTTGTTCCGTGGCTAGTTCCAACGCCTAAGGTAGGACTCTAACAAAGCAGTCAAGGAAATAAAAGTTCAGCGACGGCTTTTTACGAAGGATAGTGTACTTTGGTGAGATTCGATGAGATCTGAGTCAAACAAATTCATAAAACTACCATAAATTCTGCTTAATGCATGCTGTTTTGCGTAGGCTGCATACCATTTTAATCAGCAAAACCGGTTTGGGAAATAATTTTATATAATTTTAAAGAATAAAAATGTTAGTTTCGTGCACTCTTTGCTTCTAAAAGATGGGACGAAGGGTTTTTTTTTCTAAAAAACGAATATGTAAGAGAATGAGCATAGGAATGTCTTCGCACACAGTAAGGTCGCATTAAGGAATAGCTCCACTGTCAATACTTGGCACCAGTGCAAAGAAGTTTATTTACCCATTAAATGCACAAAAGAGGAAAAGCATCAGAAAAATTTCTAAATGACCCAGACCTTTAAACTAGAACGACAATCTTATTAAACGTGACAAAGTCGCAATTTAAAATTGTTTTGAAGAGGGGGATGAGATATGAAATCCAAACGGCACTACATTTATTTAAAAAATTAGGCCTTATCGTATCTAAATACGTAGGACGAAATCGCATTAAAACACACAAAACTGACATTTTTTTTTTCAGTTGAACGACCAACCACGGGTTTAAAACTACAGGACTGCCTGGTAAGGCCAGTGAATAACTGACACGTAAGCAAACATCAAACAGTGCTATGTGGTCTGTAAACATAAAACTCACGAGCCCGATTTCGCAAAGGGTAAAAATGCAACTCACCATGCTTTCGACCAACTTGGTTCTGGGGAATAATAATCTGGCACGAAGTACTGCCATTTGTGCCATCGATAGGATGATCCAGAATGCAGATGGCACGCACAACCTGTAACGTGAACATAGAAGAGGATCGAATGAATAGATAGTGCGAAAAATTGGGAGAAAAAATATAGGGGTAACTACGCTTCTAGTTTAGCAACATATGATTTAAAAAGACTTAATGATTGTATGAAAAAAAAAAGGTTTTTAATGCAAAGACTAAAACAATACTACGGGAGTCATCAGAAATAACAGAAGACATAAAACGCATTCCTCTTGAGAGTCATTCGAGTCAAGATTG